CCTCCTCCTCCTCCTCGTCCTCTTCCTCCTCATCCTCCTCATCCTCCTCATCCTCCTCATCCTCCTCCTCTTCCCCTTCCTCCTCCTCCTCCTCCTCCTCCTCCTCCTCCTCCTCCTCCTCCTAGTCCTGCTCCTCCTCCCTCCTCCCTCCCTCCATCCTCCCCCTCTGCTCCTGCTCCCACCCCCGTGCCCCCCCCCCACCCCGCCCCCCCGGACCGCAGTCCGAGCGCATGGGCAGGACCATCGGCGACGCCCCGCAGAGACCTCGGGGGCGCGCTGTCCCCGCGCGGGCGCCAGGAGGCCGGGATCGGCCAGCATCGTGGGTCGAGGGGTCGGGACCCTCCCGAGGGTCGAGGTCGAGACCCTCTCGAGGGTCGAGGTCGAGATCGTGGGTCGAGGGGCGAGACCCTCTCGCGTCGTGAAAAAACACGACGGCAATCTGTTTGGCGATCTTCGGCCCCGAAGGCCCTCGCCAAGCTCCGGGGCCGTCGAGAACGGCTCCCGCTGAGCAGGTCGACGCGTCTGGGGTTCTGTTGCTCCCATCGTACTTACAGACCACATCCCAGAAATAATGTCGAGCACCCGGAAGAGTGTCGAAAGAGTGTCGAAAGAGTGTCGAAGCAGTGTCGGACGAGTGTCTCCCAGGGTCCGACACAAAAACCCTCGAGTTTCGGAACTTTTCTGGTGTTCGAAATTCTTTCTGGTGATCAAGGCCCAAGTAGGTTGGAACATCAGAACTCTGGGGGTCGACGTCATGAAAACGTCACGACATCGGGGGTCAGGGGCTGAGGAGCGAGCAACGAAGTTCGTGGACATCGAGGACGGCGGAATTGAGGGATAGAGTGATCGAGATTCGAGGAATCGAGGACATCAAAGGATCGAGGGCATCGAATCCCACCAGCCCTCTGGGCGTCGGTGGTGTAAAGAGTTTCCTCTTCCACTCCTCCTTCCCCTTCGGGGAGGGGTTTACCCCTCCCCCTACCCTTTCCCCTGGACCTGTGGGGGGGTCGCGAGGTGCCAGGGCGTCCAAAACGGCCTCGGCGAGGAAGCCAACATCATTGGTTGTACCAAGGTTTTGGCCCCATTTTGGCCTCCTGAGGGGGGGACCCTAATTGAAGTTCCCCTCTTGTTTGGTCCATCTCCTCCAAGATGGCCCCAAGAAACACCCAGGATACCCCAAGAGGTCCCAAGGTGGCCCCAAGATGGCCCCAAGAGGCCACCAAGAGGCCCCCAGGAGGCGCCCAAGAGATCCCCGAGAGGCCCCAAGAGACCCCCCAGAGGCACCCAAGATGCTCCAAGAGGCCTCGGCGAGAATTCCAAGTCATTGATTCTACGAAGGTTTTAGCCACATGTTGGCTTCTTTGGGGGGGCACTGATTCAAATGACTCTGAGAGCGCCTGGGCGAGCCCAAAATGACCTCCAAGAGGGCTCAAGATATCCCAAGGTGCCTCATAATGGTTTCCTCTGTGTGCTGCCCACTTCCCTGATCGAGGCAATTCCCTGGGCATCGTTTCTGGATGGGCTGGTGGGGATTCATTTTGGTCAACAGGCTCGCGAGGCGGGTCGAAAGCCGTCCGAACACTAGTCGGGCCGCGACCAGGCAGCAGGAAAAGAAAGGCAAGCGAAGCGAACGAGCGGGCAACCACTCAGAAAGAGAGCCACAACCGATACTCCCAAACCCGGTGGCGTTGGAAATCCCGGTGGCGACCAAAGCGCAGCCAAAATGGCGCGGCGGCGCGACCATGAACGCGCAGAGGTCGATCGCTCGGTGTGAAACCGACAAACAGCACCGTCAGAGACGAACTAGACAGACAGGCACACCCAGACAACATCCGTGAAGTAGGCGACACAAATGCCAACACATCGTGCCGGCGCAAGAGTGAAGAGGGGCAACCTCATCACCGACAAGAATGCAAACGGCAGTAAAACCTGTGACAGTTGTCGAAAATGAAGTCCACGCAATATAACGTTTCCCAGCGAGCGTACAGAGCCACACTTGCCGAACCCGAGGTCCAGGTACTGTCAGGTAGGCAGTGTAGCGAGAGACCCACTGGAACCTTCCGCTCATCAGTAGGGGCCGACGCCAGCCAGCAGACCAGGGGGCACCTGACCTGACCTAAGCGAATGTGACGCAGCACCATTCCCTGCGTGAGCCCTTGCATGAATTCCAGACCACCTGAACGCCATCAGGAAGCAGTATTGGGCAGCAAACCCCAGCCGCCAGGGAAGAACCCTGTGAAACAGGAGGGAGAACACCTCGGTGCAACAGCTGGCCGCTGTGGCATAAGGATGCAGGAGGAGAGGAGGGGAAGTGCACGCCAGGCACGGTTGGCACCCCGGTGTGGCAGCTAACCGCTGCAGCATTAGGATGGAGGGGAGGGAAGGAAATGCACGCCAGACGCACGGTGTGGGTGCAACAGCTAACCGCTGTGGCATCAGGGTGCAGGAGGAGAGGAGAAGTGCACGCCAGGCACGGTAGGCACCCCGGTGCGGCAGCTAACCGCTGCAGCGTGAGGACGCAGAAGGGGGGGAGGAAGTGCACGCCAGGCGCACGGTGCGAGAAGGAGGGGGGGGGGGGGGGAAACATATACTCGAGCAGTTGATGCTGACAGGGACAATCACGGTGGGCTGCCAGTCCACATACCCGGTGTGATGTCAAAACCGCATTGCAGCGAAACTGGGCGGTGCCCCCCACACTCGGTGTTACTGTCGATGCCGTTTCTCGGTCCATGGGCTCTCGGCTGCTCGGCTCCTCTTCCCAGCCATGCCCAGAGCACTCCAACCCTACTGCGGGCGGCCAGTGTCGGCGCCCACGAGATCCCGACCATCTCGTGGGGGTGCCTGGCGCCCCCTGCTCGCGCCGACGTGATGTCCCAAGGGTTGTCCAGGCACCTGCGCCCAGTCGATACCCAGGCCCAATGAGTCGCTCATGGCCCGAACATCGCAGCTGTGGCTGTGAATTGAGGTCAGGAAGGCGATGCAGGTTCGCTTGTCGTGCCGACGCGGGTCGAAAGCGCGCGCGGTGCCAGGGGGAGCGCGTTGCACGGCAAAGGCGTGCCAGACGGCTGTGAACGACGCGCCCAGGGTGACCTGAAGGTGCCTGATCGTTTCGTTTGGTAACTCTCCGCAGGGGTCCCACTGGGAGTCGTGGGCCCGGGCTCTATAGAGCGGCCTTCCATTGTGGGAGTCCCGTGGTCCTGCATGGCGATCGGCGAACAGCCTGGGCGTCCACCCACTTTCCGTCCGACGCGTCAAGGATGCCCCCCGGTTGGGCTGCTGGCTCGTCTCGGCTGTCGAGCTCACGTCCCCACCCGAGAGGGGGGGGTCTGGCGCGCTTTGCAGGGATGCAGGGGTTGCCCCGTGGCTGCTCGTAGAGGCGCCCGCCCGTATCGAGTCGCTGGCAGGGGAGGGAGGGCGAATATGGGCGAAAGGGCTCCTCGAAACCAGCTGTGAGATGGCTTCGTCGTCCCGCTCGTCAGGGGAAGGCTGACGCGTGGGCGCGGTGGAACTTCCCAATGCCGTCTGGAGGGTGGCTTCACTGTCGGGCAGGCCGTCGGGTTGGCCGTCGGGCTGGCCGTGGGATTGGGCGTCGGGCAAGGCCTCAGGTAGAGTGTTGGGTAGGGCGTCAGGTCAGGCGTCGGGAACGGTGTCGGGTGAGGCGTCAGTCTGGTCGTGGGGCTGGTCGTGGAGCTGGCCATGAAACTGGCCGTGGGGCTGGCTGTCGGGCTGGCCGTCGGGCAGGCCGCTGTGCTGGCGGTCGGGCTGGCCGTCGGACTTGTCGCGGGGCTGGCAGTCGGGTTGGCCGTGGGGCAGGCCGAAAGGCTGGTCGTGGGGCTGGCAGTCGGGCTGACCGAGGGGCTGTAGGCTGTCGGTCGGGCTGGCTGGCTGTGGTGCTGGCCGTGAGGCTACTCGTGGGGTTGACAGTCGGGCTGGCCGCGGGACTGGCCCTAAGCCTGGTCGTGGGGGAGGCCGGCCGTGGGGCGGGTCGTGGGGCTGGAAGTCGGGCTGGCCGTGGGACCGGCCGTGGGGCTGGCAGTCGGGTTGGCCGTGGGGCTGGCAGTCCGGTTGGCCGTAGGGCTGGCCGTGGGGCTGGCAGTCGGGCTTGCCCTGGGTCTGGCCGCAGGGCTGGCCGTCGGGCTGGCAGTCGGGCTGGCCGTCCGGCTGGCCGTGGGGCTGGCCGGGCTGGCCGATGGGGCTGGCAGTCGAGCTGGCAGTCGGGCTGGCTGTGGAGCTGGCCGTGGGGCTGGCCGCGGGGCCGGCCGTGGAATTGGCGGTCGGACTGGCCACGGGGCGGGCCAACGCGCTGGCCGTCGTCAAGCGGGCCGCGGGGCTGGCAGCCGGCCAGGCAGTGGAGCTGGCAGTCAGGTTGGCCGCGGGGCTGGTCGCCAGGCTGGCCGTCGGGCTGGCCGTGGGGCTGGCAGTCGGGCTGGCCGAGTGGGCTGGCAGTCGGACTGGCCGTCGGGCTGCCTGGCCGTGGGGCTGCCAGGGCTGGCAGTCGGGCTGGCCGTGGGGCTGGCCGTGGGGCTGGCCGCGGGGCTGGCAGTCGGGCTAGCCGCGGGGCTGGCCGTCGGGCTGGCCGTCCAGCTGGCCGTGGGGCCGGCCGTGGGGCTGGCAGTCGAGCTGGCCGTGGGGCTGGCAGCCGGGCTGGCCGTCGGGCTGGCCGCGGTGCTGGCAGCCGGGCTGGCCGTGGGGCTGGCCGTGGGGCTGGCAAACGGGCTGGCCCCGGGGCTGGCCGTCGGGCTGGCCGTGGGGCTGGCCGCGGGGCCGGCCTTGGGGCTGGCAGTCGGGCGGGCCGACGGGCTGGCCGTGGGGCGGGCCGTATGGCAGGCCGCGGGGCTGGCCGTGGGGCTGGCAATCGGGCTGGCCGCGGGGCGGGCCAACGGGCTGGCCGTCAGGCGGGCCGCGGGGCCGGCAGTCAGGCAGGCCGTGGGGCTGGCAGTCGGGCAGCACGGGGGGCAGGCCGCCAGGGTGGCCGAGGGGCTGTCAGTCGGGCTGGCCAGGAGGCTGGCCGGGGGGGCAGGCCGTCGGGCAGACCGCTGCCGCCGCGGCGGCGCCGGCCACCGCGCCAACCGCCCCAAAGGGTAGCACGATCTACACTATAGACAATGATTTCCAGATCTATAAAATAGAGCTGGAATTAGGTTGGTTTGTACGTTCAAACAAATGTGTAAGTAATAAATAGAACATGTGTGTATTCCTTTTGATTCACAATAGGTGATGCATCCAACGTGAAATTCTGTGTTGTTTCCAAATGGCGTGCACATTTGTTGTGGCATACATGGTGTGTTCACCCACCCAGCACAGCGCTTCGTGGCCCAATAGGGGCCCCACCGAAGCCCCCAGTGGGACCGCCCGCGCGCGCCCCCCACGCCCAACTTGGCAGTTTCACCCACCCAGTACAACGCTTCGTGGCCCCATAGGGAAGTCCACCGAAGCCTCCAGTGGGACCGCCCGCATGCGTCCCCCACGCCCAAAGTGGCGCAGTCATGAGGACCGCGGCCATGTGGACCTGCGGCAAAATCAAAACGACGAGGAGGAGGAGGAGGACGAAGAGGAGGAGGGGGAGGAGGAAAGGAGGAAAGAGAGGATAAGGACGAGGACGAGGAAAGGGAGGGGCAGGGGGAGGAGGAGAGAAGGGGGAGGGGCTGGGAGAGGACGAGGCGGAGCAACATCATCAGCAGTAGGATGATCGAGGAGAAGCACGAGCAGGAAGCGGAGGAACGGGGGCAGCACATCATCCCGATCCCTCCTCATCGTCTGATTTGTTTTTTGCTTCTCATCCTCATCGCGTTCATGCTCTCATTATTGTCATTATTCCTTCTCCTGCCCCTCGCGCCGTCATTTGTCCGCTGTGACCCCCCAGACGTGAGAGGATGCAAGTCACGAGCAAGGAAACGAGGAGGTGGGGAAGGGCATGGAACGATGATGAGAAGCGATGATGATTCTGGCGCTCCGCGCGGCGGCCAAAACGGCCGGCGCACAGTTCCGCGCGGAACGCCCACCTCCTCCTCACCCCACCTCAGCCCATACCTTTTAGCTTGATCATCGATCATCTGCTGGTAGAGGGGGAGGAGCTGGGCCATGATCTGGCGCTTCTCGTCGATCGTAGTGGCGCGTTCGAGCTCATCGCCCAGCCTGTCCATCGACCTCGTCTGTCGATCGATCTTCCTCTGCTCTTTCGCCTTCCAAGCTAGCTCGTCAACGAAACCTTCCTCCTCCTCCTCCTCCTCAGAAGCATTCCTGCGTCTTCGTCGACCTTCTGTGTCCGCTTCGCGCCTCCTGCCCCTGTCTTTTTTGGTCTTCCTCAAACCTCCTCTGCTGTCACTTCTCGTTGTCCTCCTCATCCTCTTTCTCGCGCTCCTGCTTCTGTCCCTTAATTTTTTCTTTCCTCCTGATCCGCTCTAGCCTTAGATCTGCGCGCTCTGCATCATCATCTGCGTCGTCGGCCAGGACTTTCGCCATCTCTGCTTTCGTAATCGCCCTCTCTGCTTTCTTGCAAGCTTTTTTGATCTCCATACTTTCTTTCAGCTTCGCTTTGAACTTTTCGTTCTTGTCTTTGCTGCTCACAGGGGCTGGTGTCTCCTCCTGGTCTCGTTCCTTTGTCTGCCTCCTGGCGTCGGCCTCGTATTCTTCCTCCTCTGAAGTGCTCGTCCTCGTCTTCGCCTCACGGGCCTTTCCAGCCTCCTCGTCTGCTTCATCTGCAACGGGGTCCGTCAGCTCGCTCTCCTCCCTCTTGACAGTCTCCTCAGCGCCCTCTTCTCGATCTTTCGCGCTGCTTATGGCCATCGCTTTCATGACCGGCTGGTGCCCTTGCTCGAGTGCGCGCTGCCATGCGAGATCAGCGTCCTCGACCTCGGCCTCGTCTCCTCGACCTCGGCCTCGTCTCCTCGATCTCGAGCGCCTCCTCCTCGACCTCGGCCTCGTCTCCTCGATCTCGGCCTCGGAGTCGTCCTCGTGGCATCCTTAAGACAGCCTCGTCCTCGGCTTCCCTCTGCTTTCTAGACTTTAGGCAGGCAGCCTTCGAAGATGTGCCCTCCATAGCTGGCCAGCGGGCCCCGTGCGCATGGGGGGGAAGGGCGGCCCTCTCGTTACATGCGCCCCTGAGCACGGACGGCGGGCAGGCCGGCGATCGACGGGGAGGGGGGGCTGGATTTGCGACGAGAGGCACGTTAACAAAACGATCGAACAATCGAACCGCACACGAAATTCAACCCAGTCGTTATCAGATCGGATGGGCGGGCGTGGGTTACATGGGTTGTTCTCGTGATGGAGGTGCGCTGAAGGTATAGAGGGTGAGGAGATAGTGGGTGGAGAGCACACAGAAGTCGGGTGCTACGTGGAATGCGCGCATGGTGAGCGGCACGCGTTCGTTTTCCTCGGCCCCCACTGGCCCTAATCAGAAGCAGAACTCGATTCGCTGCTAACGCTCGGGTCTTCCCCGCGATCTGGCTCCCACATCATCTTGATGCGGTGCTTGCAAATTACGCGCGTATGCCCAACAGCCTTGCACGCCGGGCACGGGCCCCACTGTTTGGGCCTCTTGTTTCCTAATCTGCGGAGGGCAGCCGAATCCACACTTCGTTGTTACGACCCCCCCCACGCCATGCTCTGCCCAGTGGGTACCCTCGTGCACATGCTATGGACCATGCGCGCACGCATCTGTGCATTGCTAGATATGTTTACGTTTCTGCTCGCGCGCACCGCCCCCAAAGTGTAGCACCTTAGAAGATCTGGAGTCGGCCCCCCCCCGATTGCGCTTCTTCTTCGCCTTGTAGTTCATGTAATGGAGCTGGTCAGCATACGTGGCGGTCAGCCGTGCTTTCCTCTGCATGCGCAAGCGCTTGAGCTCTGCGTATTCTGGTGGCACCTTGGTCCTGGGATGCAAGCCCCCTCGGCCCCGCCTCGATCGTTCGTGATCGTGATATACGGGGGGGTGGGGGGTATCGAAAACATATGGCCCTGACCTAAATGACCCCCTGGGGAAATCGTTGGTTTTTGGCCCACGGTCATGCAGTTCATGTGGTTCCCAGGCTCGATCTCGAATTCGATGATGTCATCCGCAGTGGGCCTAGATCGAACATATGTTTATCCGTCAATCGGCCAGGGTGGGGCTCCACCCGATCGAAAACACCAGGGACTTTTGATACAAAAACAAAGCGTTCCAGAATAAGCTCTGAAACTGTAACGAACTCAAAGTGGACGCTGCCAGATGGAGCCCCAACGCTACCAAATTGACAATGACATAGCCCTTTTGTTCCCAACTCGGCATCTGGAATCTCACGAACACCTTGTCAGGTTCGATAGGGGGAATTATTGTGAGAGGGTGGGAAGGGCGAGCAGGAACATTATTTGGGAGCGGGTTGCATTAAGACGTCTGCTCACCTTCAGCGGTAGGAGACACACCTTTGCCCTCGCTCCACTGTTGGCTCCCAAGTCGTTCCAGTCAAACGTGGGGCACCTGGCTACCGTGCATTCCTTCTCCTCCTAGCCAGTGCTCCTATCAGCCGACGTCATCGTCGACATCGTTCTCCACATATCCTCGTGGTCGTCGTAGTCCGACTTCTCGCCTACGTCGTGTTCGTCGGCATCCTTGTCCTCAGTATCGTATGTGTCTCTCCCGTCTCCTGTCCTCCTCGTCGGAGGTATTGCCGTCGTCGTCATCTATACCTGGTATGTGGGAACAGCAAGGCACTCGGAATCAGAAACATCATCTCGCTGAGCTGCCATTGCAAGCCTCGCTCGGGGCCCCTGCACCTGAGCGGACCTCGCGCCCGACACCCCACGGGCAAAATACACAGCCTGGAGCCGACAGTGCGGTTGCTCTCGGTGCCGCGGGGGTTGGGCATCAGCTACCAGGGGGGGTTGGGGTGACGATTTTGGGGGGGAAGGTTCGTCAACTGGGTGGTCCGAACACACAGGGGCCAACGCAATTTTGACACCATGACCCTTTATCTCTGGAGACTCACACCTTCAGGGCTGACGGCAGTGGGAAAGGCGGCTGGCCTCGAGTTCGCCAGGAGGGCGGGGGGAGGGGGAGGGGGGGTCGGGATGCGGTTAACGGGTGGGTAGATATCAGTTGATATCAGTTGTTTCTGCATCTCCCCCGCCCCATCCTTCAACATTGTCGTCCTCTTTGGCGTCATCAATCCAGAACCCCCTCATCGCAATTCCCCCCTAGTAGACGCTTCCCAACGACACCCTTTATGTTTTCCCTCGGGCCGCTTGCTACATCCTGTAGTACCGACCCACTCTGCGACTAAAACAAAGCATTGACCTTGGCAGGAAAACGCACGCCTCAGCTCAATAGCGCGATATCCTGAGGGTTGAAGCCGAAGATGGTAGATAATGAGGTTCCCGACATAGACCTGTGAATTGCCCCCCACTCGTCATGCAGGCACATCGTCATGCACGTGCACGTGCTTACCAGAGAACATGATATCACTGAAATGATCGACGAACGGGGAAGGACACGTCGAGGGATGAGGGCATGCGGGAGGAAAGATGAAACCACCGTTGTTGAGCACATCCTGACTGATACCCAGGGAACTTGGAAAACTACTGAGAAGGAGGGGGAGGATGATGAGGAGGGGGAGGAGGGAAAGGAGGAGGAGGATGAGGAACAGGAAGGGGATGAGGAGGAAGAGGAGATGGACATATGAAAGCGCACGCATGCCCACGCACGACGGTACCAACAACACTGCCGCGACGTTTGCTCCCTCTCGCAGTCCATTGACTTGAAACAACCACACGTACAATGTAGCACGACACCTTGCCAAATTGTGTTGGGGCAAGCTCTCCCTTCCCAGCGCGGCTTGTCTGTGGCGTCGAGATCCGTTGCAAAGCGCGCCTTCTTTTCAGCTCTCACTTTGCTCACTTAAGTATGGCCCGCGCAGAGCCCTGCCCTTCCCCCCCCACCCACCGTTGCGACTGTAAATCTCACGCAGAACCATCATCGTCATCACGATGACAGCGGCCCAGGTGATCATCAGAGGGTGCTGCG